CAGGAGTTCTCAGTTTGATTCCTGGTCAGAGCACATGCCTGGGTTGTGGGCTCGATCCCCAATGTGGGGCATGCAGGAGGCAGCCGATCAATGGTTCTCTCTCATCACTGATGTTTGTGTCCCTTTCTCTCTCCCTTCCTAAGATCGATAAAAAAAATATATGTATATATATATACATATATGTATATATATACATATATGAAGACTTCCTTTTTTGGGCATCTTACTGAAGTGTATTTTTATATCTAAAGTAAGTCTTTATATCTGAAAGACCAATTAAGAATGAGTGGGTACTACCAGGTTAGTGAAATTTGCAAATTCCAACAATTCTTTCAAACTAGGAATCAAAAGAATGACAGAATCTCTAATTTTGCCATAGGTATTCACCAGACTTATGTTATCTTAGGGAGCTTTCACATGGCCTTTACATCCTCTTAAAAAATCACGATTTGATCTCACAAATTTTTTTAAAATATATTTTTATTAATTTCAGAGAGGAAGGAAGGGGGGGGGGAGAGAGACATCAATAGAGAGAGAATCATTGATTGGCTGCACCTGGGGATCAAGCCTGCAACCTGGGCATGTGCCCTTGACCAGAATCGAACCTGGGACCCTTTAGTCCGCAGGTCGACACTCTATCCACTGAGCCAAACCGGCTAGGACTGATCCCACAAATTTTAAGATAATTAATAACCACCAAATAATTAGTGGCAATAATGCACATACAGCAATGGAGAATTTTTGGGGGGTATGGTATCAAGTATCTCTGATCTTATAAATGATAAAGGAAAGATTTCAGAACTTAGAGGCTAGGAATTGAGTGAAAATGTAATCTATTCTGACACGGTAAAAGGGTCATTGTTCCACCTTGAATTCAGTATCTTTCCAAAACAACTTCTCCATGATACATTCACAAACCAACTCTAAACATGACCTGGACAAATCGTCTTTTTCCTCCTCAAGAGGACAATCCAACGAAAATCTTCACCAAAGCCAGCAGCAGCTCCTTGAAATTTCAGACATAACTGGAGGTTTTGTAATCAAGTCCAAATGTAGACACACACACACCTCCAACCTCCGATTTCTATCAAAGCGTTAACATTCTAAATCCTAGCTAGAGCGCAATTACTGGAAAGCAGTGTCCTTATGCAAGAGAAGGGAAGGTCTGAAACTGACAAGCGCACAGGTCCGCAGAACCTCAATCCTCTCCGTTTCACCAGGAGGCCAAAGAGGGAAGGCTCCAAGAAATGGGGGGTGAGGGTGTGTGTGTGGGTGGGGGGGGAGGGGTGCAGAGGCCACTGCACTCCTACAAGGGTGAAAGCAAAAGAGAAGCGACTCTGGACAAGCGGCCGCAGGGGACCTTCGAGCTTAGGATGCACAGAGTCAGCTCCTCTCGACCGAAAAAAGTCCCCTCTCCCAGGGAAGCGGCGCCCCGAGCCAGCAAAGGCAGAAGGGGATTATTGGTGGGGGCGGGCCGCGCGCCCCCACCCCGCGCTCTGGCCCAGCCAGGAGGGGTCGGCAGGGACCGCTGCTCCGACCATCAACAAAGGCTCCTTCAGTCCCGAGGCGAAACTCGAACAACAAAGGCCCGCAGACGGCGAGGACGGGGCCGGGGCGGGACGGATGAAAGCAGGGGAGCAAAGGCAGCAGCCCCGAGGGG